CCCGCAGAGGACAGAAGAGGCTGTCAGATCCCCTGGAACTGGATTTACAGACAGTTGTTAGCTGTCATGTGGGTGCAGGGATTCGAACCCAAGTCTCCTGCAAGAACAGTGTTCTTAACCACCGAGCCATCTCTCCAGCCTGGTTTTTTTTGTTTTTTTTGAAGGTTTAGTAGTGAGTCTCCAAATTTAAGTGTCTTCTAGGGGTCACCTACAAAATAAAGAGACTATCTGAAGACATTTCATATTATCTAGTGATTGTTTAGTCAACTGTCTCTTGACAAAGAGACATTTCTGTTGATTTCTAAATGTATACCTTATGTAGACCCCCCCCATGGGGGATGAAAACAAAGAATGTATAATTTCATTGTGCTTAAAGGCAACATTGCAATTTCCTTGCTTTATAAAAATCACAGGAAAAATATACTTTGAAACAAAATGTAAACATTGAACTATATGACACAAAAAATAACTAGAATAACAATGGAAAATTTCTATATCACAGTCAAATGTCTAAAATATAATATATATTACTAAGAGAGAGAGAAGGGCAAACCAAACTTATTTGCTATCAGAAGGAGATAATTCTACTGATTTAACCATGCTGAGAATTTCCATTTATAATAAACTCTAAAGGTTTTGATGCTTTTATGTAGTACACTTACTCCCTATGTGATGAAACACTTACTATACCAAGCAAAGATGTGAGAAGTAAAGCTGAAGTTTTGTATTTTTTAGTTTTTGTTTAGACAGGATCTCCCTATAGCCTCATCTGTCCTAGAACATGCTATGTAGACAAGACTAGCCTATCTCACAGAGATCTAGCCTGTAAAGCACTAGAACTAAAGGTGTGAGCCACCATACCTTACAAGCTTTATGTTATCCTTAAAGAAGAAATACATCTATTGAATGTAGACCAGAACTTTCCATAAAACTTATCACTCTAACATTTACTGAATCAAAAAATCAGTTGAAGAGATTGATTCCTCAACAACTAAATCAGCCGAATGCATTAAATGGTGTGAAAGCACACAAAAGGGGGCCTTTCTCTAGTTTTTTAGGTTTTTTTTTTCTGAGAGGAAAATGATTTCATAAACATAGAAACATTTCACTATGGCCTGTTAAGGGTAGACTATTTAGCAAGGAGGGAAAATATGGAAAGTCTCAGAAGGGAGATAGTTGCAACTAGGAGAGTAGAACTCATTAACTGAAGTAAGAAAGAGGGAGTTTTTGCAGACATAGGGAGTGACTAGTGTGAGTTTGAACAGATTGTGTCAATCAATATGGGATTTAGCTATCTTTTTAATTAAAGCTTATGAACACTCTTATGGGTACTTTCTTAAGCTTCTAATGCTCTCCTGAAGAAATGCCAATATGAACTCTGCCAAGATATTTTTTTGACAGCTGTGATTTTTTTTCCAAATTATATACAGAATATATTTCTTACCTAGTTGTTCTTCACTTGGTCTCACTAAATGATACAAAGTAACAACTAGCAAACTGATCCCTGTTGTTTAAAAATGAACGTTAATTTTACAGTGAGCATTCTTCTATGGCATATTCTAAAAAGTAGTATTCTAAAAAGTAACATTCTATGAATATTCCACTTTTAATCACCTTAAAAAGTTTGTAGAAGAGATTTCTGTAGAAGAGCTTAAAGCTTTGAAACTTAAATAAGTCAGCTAGCTCAAAATTAAGCTCAATTATTAGACATTTGCATAAGAGCTCATTTCCATTTTCCTTGTAAAGCTAAAGCCAAATAGTTTACCAGATTTCTAATCCACGGCATAAGCATCATTGGTTCCAAATCCAAGGATGAAAGTCTAGCTTTAATTAAAATTTAACATGTACCTTAGCATTTGTCATAAAATTAATTTTTAAATTATGTGATTTCATTACTTAAGTACTGTAGAATGAATTTCCAGTAAATATGTATCTCTCTAGGGTTTTAAGTAGAAGCTTTAAGCTTTTTGTAAAATTATCTATTGCTAATTGGGCAAGGAACAGAATGTTTACAATGTTGAAGAGACTGAGTAATTTTGATAAACTAGATTGGAAATTTTGCACAAATGTGATTTTCCTTTATGAGAAATGAATATATTGGTTATAGTAAAATACTTGAAAATCCATGCATAAATCCAGGAATTTGCTTTTAATTTACATTACTAGGTTCTTTAATTTACAAACTGTTTGTAGTCTATATGAGTCTGATTTTTAAATCTAACTCTTCTCCATCAGAGATATGTGAGATATTCAATGAAAATAGAAATATAAGAAGCAGGCATGGCATTCAAGCCTATAATCCCAGAACTTGGGAGAATAAGGCAGTGCACTGATGCCTGGGCAGCAGAGTGAGACCCTGTCTCAGAAAAATAGAAAAGTAGGGAGGAAAAGATAATAAACATGATGTACCAAATAGATATCTATTCCAAATTTACATGCCATTTTCAACTTCTGAAGTACCCATCCAAGATTAGGGCAATGATGCACATTCCATGTATGAGGCAGTTTCCTGCAATGAAATTGCTTAGATCTTCCCTTATATTCTAGGAAACATTGAGCAAAGATACACTACTTGCCATAGATGAAAATTTAACCTAGAATCTCTGTCCTTCTGCCAAGGGGGCTAGTGAAAATGATGAATAATGAGATTTATCACCAAGGAATTCACCTTCAAAAAGGCTGACAAAGAGCTGCTTTTTAAGACTGCATCACATCAAGATCACCTTGATCACCACCAGACACGCTGCCAGTCATGGTGGCAGATGTCTAAATCCCAGTACTTAGAAGACTGAGACAGGAATATTGTGAGATCCAGACCAGCCTGGCTGCATATAGAGACCTTGTCTCAATGAATAAATAAATAATAGTAAACAAGAATAAGATGACTTGTTTTGAGCATCTGATAGAAATATTGTCTGTACAAAAGTAGCACCATTGTGGGGCTGGAGAGAGTAGTTAAGAGCACTTGCTGTTCTTGCAGAGGATCCAAGTTCAGTGCCCACCTCCCATATCAGGAAGATCACAGCCGCCTGTAACTCCAGCTTCAGGGGATCCAACACCCTCTGTTCTCTGTTGGTACCTGCACATGTGTGGCATCCATACACATAGATGCACACAAAAATAAAAATAAAAATAATTCTTACAATAATACCATGTTACCTGAGCCTGGTGGCACATGTCTTTAATTCCAGGATTAAGGAGGCAGAGACAGAGATCTCTGTGAGATCAAGGTCAGCCTGGTCTATATAGTGAATTCCAGACCAGCTGTAGGTGGAGGGAGACCCTGTCTCAAAAACAATCTGAAACATGTGTGTGTATGTGTGTGTGTGTGTGTGTGTGTGTCTGTGTGTGTGTGTGTGTATGTATATATGATCACGTTCCTGCTTGCTTTTTTTTTAAATTTGGTCTATCTTATTTTTCCTATAATGTGTTTTCTGGTAAAATAATTCACATTTCACATAAATATCTGTGGAAAAACCATATTTACAGAGTGATTTGGATAAAAATATAATATAAAATTATTCAAAATTCATTTTAAAAATCCATAAAAATCCAATTATGATGACTTGATTTTAAGCTCATTTTCTCAATAATTTAGCTAACATATAATACATTAGGACTTTACATTGCATATGTTTCCATTCACTAATGCATGAAAAATATCAGAACTCTAAGGTGACCTTGATATGGCAGTGGAAATTAATAAGGTGGCAGTTAATAGGACTGATTTAGGAATGAGTTATAAAAATTACACTTGGATACAGAGAGTCAATTATGAAGATACAAAGT